TAGAACTTATAGAACTTAGAACTGAATTAGACATTACAGTGGCTGATAATATCCTCAATTAGAAGAAACCATCAATAGTACTTGCTGTCACACTTGCCAAGCTCCATCCCTTTCTGGCCATGTCTCCCTCAGTGAGGCCCAGAGCATCTGTATCTTATAGGCAATGCTGCTCGATATGCTACTACTCTCCTGAAATATAAAAACATTATGGCTTTCACTCACATGAAATTTACATTGTGAGAATCACTCCCAAATACTACAATGGGTACCCTTTGTTTTGTTTCCTAGAACTGAACAGTTGTCTGAAATCATGTCAAAGATGTTTCTAGGGCACAGGAAACTTCTCCTTGGAAAAGTACTTACTGCATAAACATTAGAAACAAAGTTGAGATTACCCCAAATCCACAAATTACCAGAAGTTGTATGTCTTCAATTCTAGAACTCCTACATTGGGGTGAGAAAAAAACGCTTGAACCATCTCCCTTCCACATGCAGCAACAAACAAAATATCCTGTCTTGAACAAGTTGTAAGGTAAAGCCCAAACACACCAACTTGCCCTATGACCTCTTCTTTGATACCAATACTCACTTAAAACAACACCCCCCACCACACACAATGATTTTTGAAAAGTAGTTCCAATAAATAAAAATGGTAACTAATTTCATTTATAGTTTCAAGATCACATCTTTGAGAAAACTGGAAGTTAAATTACTTCCAAAATACCGAAAGACTTACTTTAAATTATATTTTCTGGTCTGCATTTTATATGCCTGTTCTAAGTTGTATTAATTGTGACCCCCTTTAAAAGTACCTAGGCAGTAAGTGCAATCTCCCAAATCATCATGTCATTTGGAACTTGTGACGCTCATAATCCTCTGCTAAGTCTCTTTTTAGAATAGTAAATTAAGAGGAAAGTTGGTGAAAGGGCCTAAGAGTCACAGCTCTTCACATGCACTAAGATGAACTTACTGTCCTGTTTATTTTCTTCATTTCTATTTTCCAAATTACTTTGAAATATTAATATAAGTTAAATATCAACTTCAGGTTAAATAAAACCAAAATGTTTAATATGTCCTGTTCTAGTGATAATTTAGTCACCTCTTTTCACACTTCAAAACTTAAGAGGAATAATAAAGTAAGTTCAACAACACCTATGATCCCACAACACTGAAAGACATGGATCTGGTTAAGCAAGAAAATATACATGAAAAGGCCTTTGCATTACCTGTTATGTAGTAGCTAATTCATTTTCAAGAAAACATGGAGCAACTACTTCTAAGAAAATAGTTTACAGCATAAGATTCCACACTAAAATTTTAAAGGCAGAATTATTGTTAGCTCTTTTTAAATATCAAATGTAGGAGATAAAAAGTTAATGTGAAGGAAATAATAAGTTCAGAGATAAATATTATGAAACATAAGTTTTAAGTTTAGAGAACAAAGAACAAGTTAGTAAAACTCAGTAAATTTCAACCCCGATTGCACATTAGAGTCACTTAGGGGCTTTTAAGACTCAAAGTGACTGAGTTCAATTCTAAAACAATTAAATCCAAATCTCCAGGTTTCAGAGATAAACATCTATATCTAAGATAAACAAATAAGCTGAACATCTCCAGAGGAGAATTGGGGCTGAAATAAGAGATGAGATGAATTGACAAATTGAAACTCCCTACTGCTATTCATCTAAAACAGTTCCTAAATTTCCCATAGGAACTATGCACATGAACTTAAAGGCATAACTTGTAATGTGTTGCTATTGTTGCTGCCCTTTGTAAAGATTTTTGATCCATTTGGCATGTAGGGGTACTACCATGTTCCTTACTGGTTTGGGATATTCTCTGTCTGTGGAGAATCTCAGAATAAGCAAAGGCAATGCCATTCTAACATCTTGTACCTTCCTTGTGGCAACTGAATAAGAAAGTGGCAAGTGCATAAACTCATTCCAAGAACACAAAACAAAGATATTTCTGAGGTGAGTCCAGACATTCACATGTAACTTCATAGGTTTTATGGAAATGATTATCTTTCTTATTCTCAATCTCTGCTGAGCATTTTCCTTTTAAATACAGAAGTATTTGAGACTCTGATTTTTATTGTAAAAAGTCAAAATTAATTATTTGATCTCACAATTGAGGCATTTTTGATCTACTCAAAGAAACCCAACCTACCATTGGGAAAAGATCATAGGTTTAGAATTTAATCATAGTTGTCCTATCTGTTTGTTCTTCAAACTCTAGTTAGACTTTAGATGTGTTAAATAAATTTATAAACCACTGTTTTCTCATCAATAAAACTGAGACAACAACATTATCCAGTGTTAAGTTATCGTGGTGTATGTACATGAATGATATTTGAATATTTGGCTTTGTGGAAGTATTGAAATTTTTCTTTCAGAAAAAAGCAAAATTCATCAAGAAATACAATTGACAGAGTAACCATTTATATTTTATACGAAAATTTCAGTAGCCATAATGTTCTCCTATATATCCAAATGAACTGTGGAGAAGTAAAATAGAAAATAATTTGTTTCCATGTTAGTGTCACTTGAACCTCTAATAGTTTGTCCCACATTTGAAATCTTTAAAGACACTTTGTAGGTTTTGTGATGAAAATTATCTGGTTGCCAATCTCTATTGGCCACACACAGAAAAGACATGTTTTTGTTAGCAGCTTCAACAATGAGCACTCATTAATCAACTAAACCAGATGAAAGAGAGGGCAGTTATCATTCAGGAAGTTTCTTCAGGTGTCAAACAAATTCTAGGTGCTTTCACACCAGCTATTAGGAATAATTTTTACAACCTAAGAAATGTGTTTTGTTTTCCTCTATTATATTAATGACAAAAGTTAGGCAAAAAGTTAACAAATTTAAAAAATGCTGTACAGCTTTATAGTAAGTAACCTAGAATTTTAAAGCTGTTTAACCCTTTACATCAGTGTCTTCCAAAAAGGCTAGACAGTACATCAGGCTCTCAGAAGAATATGAAGCACAGAGAGTTTGAAGGGAATTTATTTTTCAGTCTCTATCCTACTACAATTTTCTAAAACACATGTAGCTGAGAGATTATGAAAATCTCTTCACATGACTGCACCTTCAAAATCCCACTTGCATAAATATTTTTATGAAAAATCATTTTGTTTCTACTTTTAATATAGCATTTTCCAGAGGTCGTAGAATCATATATGATGTCAAAAATAAATCATATTACAAATTTCAGTGCTTATGTTGCCAAAGTGGGTGATGTTAATGATTAAATTACAGAAAAGTATATTATATTAATTTATTTTATTTTAAATTGACAAAATTATTTTATATTTATGCCACATATTATGATATTACTGTACACATTATAGAATAAGTCAAACTAAGCATCATATATGCTACTTTATATACTTTATATTTCAGTTTGAATGTTTGCAATCAGTTTCATTTTTATGTTGTTTTTTGTTTGTTTGTTTGTTTTGGTTTTTTTTGTTTTGTTTTGTTTTTCAAGTCAGGGTTTCTCTGTATTGTTTTGAAAACTGTCCTGAACCTAGCTCGGTAGGCCATGCTGGCCTTGAACTCACAGAGATTCATCTGCCTCTGACTCCCAAGTGCTAGGATGAAAGGCTTCCATCACTAACGCCCAGCTACAATCAGTTTTCTTACCATTTTCCAAGAGTACCATACACTGTAATAACTGTTACTACTGTGATGTGAGTCACTCTCTCCACCTTTTTCTACCTCTCCAACATAAATTGTATTTGACTTGTATGTCCCTAAACTTCACCAACATTAAAAATATTCCTACCATAAAACTTGTAACATTTAGAATAATAAAATCCATGGGAAATAAACACTTAAGCAAGCACATAAAATTAACTATAAAATATTCAAATATATGAGTTCATTTTAGTTTTAGAAATAGATATGTATTAAATTATTAAGATTGTTAACTTTAAAAAATCTATTATCTTTAAATTTTATACAATATGCAATATTTCTAAATTATCTCCTCTGAAATACTTATATTTCTGATAAAATAATTGCAGTTTACATAAAAATATATGAGACTATATATCAAATGAAGTTCTAAAGCTTTCATTCTGTGCTATGTTTATGATTAAAAATAAAAGTCTTAAACCCTATGTCTATATAGACTGTTCCTCGATAAGGTATGGTTTGTTGTTACGTAGGAAGGACTTTAAAACATTTCATTAGAGAGCTTCGGCTCTGTAATTAACTGTTTCAATCTATACATGTATGCACTTCCTTATTGTGCTAAACCCAGTTTTAAAAATCCATGATAATGCAAAGAAGTAATTTATATGATTATTCTGAACTGTATGAAATTAATAAAGTCAAGTTAGAAAAAATAATCCCATTACCCTGACAACTGTAGTTAACAAAGTACAGTGGAGAGTAATGGATGTTCTTACAGTGACCTTACAGTGGCATGGGAACTTGATTTTGTTTTTGAAGATGAGTCTTAGCTGTGAAATGAGTGTTCTACAGAAATAAAAAACACTATGACTTGGTGTCCCTAGGACAATTATAAATGAATGACAATAAGATTGATCAGAAATTTTTATGCTTCTGGAACCAGGACCCAAAATTAAAATATTTGTTAGAATAGGAAAGCAAGAGATTACAAGGACACTACAAAGGATTCCTCAAGGGGTTGTTACATATTTAATTGAGAGTGAACACTAATTATTAAAAAGGTTCTTAAGACTTTGTGGTATAAAAAGAACTCAACAGAGATGCACCATGAGGTACTCTATATTGGCTCAGCCTATCTCACTGATTAATCCACCACAGATTGTACTCAAACTGATACCTTTTAGTTTGGCAAATGACATTTGGATATTCAGAATCCAATATCAAAGGAGTTTACTTATGGATTTTGTTCATTTAAAATTAGGCTTTCCTCTAAGTTATACATGAGGTGAGATAATCACTTAAATTTTTCAATCATTTAGGTAAACTAATTTTTAAATACTTTTTTGTCATCAACAGGATTTGCCAATCCACTCACAGGAATAGCAGATTCTTCTCAAAGCACAATGCACAATGCTTTGCATATCTATATGAATGGAACAATGTCCCAAGTTCAGGGATCGGCCAATGATCCCATTTTTCTTCTTCATCATGCTTTTGTTGACAGGTTGGTTGACATTTCTTCATAAATTATGTGATTGTTGGACTTAATTGAACTATCAGTATCATTATTACATATGACTTAGGTTATCAAACCAAATTTTATAAACTATGGTAGTTTGTTATCCTGAGAGACCCTAAGCTTAGGCTAAAAATACAAATTCTTTATGGAAGTTAAATTTAGTGATGAGAAATCAGTAAATGGTAAAACATAATAAGGAAGGAGAAAAATTCAAATTAGGCTATAATTACCAGTCAAGATATGAATTCAGTCATATCTTGGGACAATGTGGGCTACCCTTTATTTGATATTAGATTAGGACAAGAGAAAAATTAGAAATAATGAGTCAATAATTGCAAGTTGACTTGAGATAGGGGGTCTTGAACTCCCAAGTACTAGCTTGATTCCTCATAGGCTTTGTGGTTCCAGTGTTGACGATTTGAAAGCCTTGGATATTTGTAGTCAAGAGTAAAATCATGAATATAAAGAATCATCTGTGTAAAGAGGGACAAATAATGACAGTTTTTGTAGACGAGATAAAGACATACTATTGTTTCATAGGAATTTGCATGCTTTGGAACTCATTTGGTACCTTACTATTTTTAAAACAGACAGCTATGGGGGTGTGAGAAGACTCTGGTAAAGGTGTTAGTAACTTGGACCCTGAAGAACTAGCTTTCATCTATCCTGATAGCTAAGAGTTCAATATTTTCACAGACACAGCAATGTGCTGGAAATGGTTACTTCCAGCCTGGATCACTGAATGTAAAGCATTTTTAATATTTGGAATTCATCCAGGAATATTATAGGGACTTTTAACATATCATGAAGGTATTCTGTTTTCCTTTTCTTATCTCTTTAGGATAAGTTGTAAAGAATTCAGAGGTTATAAGAGGCAAGCTAGCTAACAGATGTGTGAATAGTAGGCAGTAAAAGATGGCTGACCTGCTAAGAAACATAAAGCCTCTAGGGTGTATATGTAATAGAAATAATATAACAGTGTAGCACTCTGGTCAGAATGCTGAGTGGTAGAAATAAACTTAATGATACTTTATGAGAATGATATGTGATATTCTTATTCTCCAGCAATTTGAATAACCATTCTTCAACAGGTACATTACTTCAAAAAAAAAGTTTGCATATGGTAAGTGATACCAAGAACAGTACATAAAGGAACAGCATGTACTATTAAGGTTTTGGATCTTCCAAACTTATTTACTATTATTACTAGGTATCAATATTTTAGAAGATCTCTTTTACTTTTATGTATTTATTAAATGTTATTCAAGAAATAATTAAAATGAGTTGAGCACCCATATATGCTCTTCATAACTGAGATTGTTAGTAAGCATACAGCAGTAGGCTGCACCAATATTTAAAAGTCAAGGGATAATTGGGTACATTCCTATCCATAAAGCTTTTGTAATTTCTCTTGGGAATATATCAAATTATTTTAAGTCCAGAGATTTTTGTTCTTTTTTCTACAGAGCCTAATTCATTCCATTATAATTATCTAAGTACTAGTTTATTTAAATAGATATTTAAGTATTACTTTAAATTCCCTTTGATCAATCATGACCTGGTTGTTTTCGCTATACTCAGCATGACACCAAGTATTCTGTAGTTGCGGGAATAAATGAAGGATTACAATGAACAACTAAAATGTTCTAACTAGATAAATGGGTAGAAGAACTGACATAATGTATTTCCTATTGTCCTGCCACAAAATAAACTGTAGTGGGCTCCTGAGTGATAACAGGAATTTTAGTGACCACTAAAATAATGTCAATAAATTTATAATTGATGGGCTTCAGAGTATTATTTATATTATAAAATGAGGAATGAGGACTACATGGTGTGCAACCACTTCAACTTGAATATGTGTCATAATATATATTATTCTGCCTATTAATAAGTGAGAAAAAGCATGAAGAAATGTTAATTAACTGTCTCTGGTTTTGAGATTAGATACAAAATATTAGTTGTTCAATTTGTTAATATTTGAAATGGATAAATATAGTTCTTTAATAAGCCAATGATAGAGTCAATTCTAAAAATGCAAAAGAATGTAAAAAATTTGGCATTTATTTTCCTACAACTCTCAATATTTATTAGAAATGTTTGTTTTCTTGCTAGTTTTTATTAAAAGTGATTTCTGGTGATATATTGATCTTGAAGCCTATGTTTCATAGATTTAATGAAGACTTCCACTAGACAGTACAGCTCAAGGTGCTGCATAATCTGGTATATATCAAATGATATCTGTCTAGCCTCAACTTCTTAAGTGGCTTCCCATCTTAGCAAAACCTGTCATAGTGAGAACTCTGCATGCAAATATTCCTATCAACTTTCTGTACAATCTGGTCATCAAATTCCCCTTTGGAAATTCTTTGTCTGTACTAAAGCTTAAATATCCACATCTCAATTTGTTATAACTTGGTTTGATAGAAATGTTTCCATTTTCAACCTTTGAGAAAATAATGTTTTCCTCAGAAAATAATGGATTGTTGGTGGGTAGTACAGAATGTAGATAAATGTGTGGGAGAAGAAAGGAGCTTCATGAAGACATTGTTTTTCTGTTCACGTAAAAACTCAAGGCTTTAAATGTTCAAAGCAAACACAATTCTGCACACATACATCCAATTACCAATACAGTCAGCAAACATAAGAAACTTTTTATTCCATATATGCCATAATAGAATTGGAAGGAAAGAATCACTACATATTTCCCATATGCACCTGGTTCCACCCATTCTATGTAACAAAAATTAAGTAACGTATGGTAATTGTGACTAAATATGCAAATACATTTGGAAGTGATGAAAAAAAGCTTGGAAATAAAAACACACAGGCATCCTGTTTAGTCCCAGAACTCACAGCACTAACACTGTGACTGTCACAAAGCAAATATTCACTATTTATGAAATATATTTATTACTGAAGAGTCTTTGAAAGATGTCTATTATTTTTGTTGGTGGCTTTTGGAAGTAAAAATGTTCAGCTCACAGTTCCTAACATGACACATACAAAATTATGTAGTTAAGGAAGAATCATATTAGCATCAATTATTATAAAACTTATAAAAAATTAAAAGTACAAGTAACATTTATAAGAGGTATCTATAAACCCAGTTCTATGTGTGTGGTATAATTATACCCACTTAATACCTACAGACTCTGCCATTATACTACTTAAGTGTCATGTCATTTTACTATAAATAAATAGAACTGCTATACTGAGTTTTAATTCCACCTACTGATCTCAAAAAATACTTAATAGAAAGTATATATGTTTATAGACAAAGATAGGGTACTCCTCCATCAATGGGAAAGCTAGAATTATCATTACAATGGTGTTTTAACAGAAGTCAAGCAATGTGGATGCTATAGAATGATAACATCCAGATAGAAAGAATTACAAAACTGGCCATCTAAAACCAGATTGACTAGCTGGGCATTGGTGGTGCATGCCTTTAATCCCAGCACTTGGGAGGCAGATGCAGGTGAATCTCTGAGTTTGGGCCATCCTAGTCTGATCTACTGAGCTAGTTCCAGGACAGGCTAAAAAACAAACAAATAAACAAAACAAAACAAATAACAACAAAAACCCAAACATACAAAAAATCAACAAACAAACAAAAAATAAAAATCTGATTGACCAAGATGGGTCTTTTGCACATTAGAGTTCTCAGGTTAAACCAGCCATTTAATTGCTTCTTAAACCTTCTTCTAAAGTGATTAGTCATAACAGTGAGACTGTGTGGACAGACATATAGAACCATCAAGTGAGACAGAAGAAAGAACAAGAAAAGATGCTCACCTGTGGCAGTTCATATTTATTTAAGATCCTAGATCCTAAAAATATGAAGCCATGTGATTTAAAAACCATTACATTCTTATGTGCTTTGGAAAAGCAGGGGCCATCTCAGCCTCACAAAATGATAGTGATACAACCTTCTTCTGTATACTGTGAGTTCAACTTTGTAAATTGCAATGCTGTATACAAAGACTAGCTCTCATAAAGAGTAAGAAGAAAGTTGTTTAAAAGTCACTGCATATTCTCTAATTGCTATTTTCTCCATGCTCTTCAGTATTGGTAACACTACTTAAGCCAATTCTCTGAAGCCTGCCTTTTGAGTGAAGGGCAAGCCTCCATAAACTGATGTATTCTAGGAATAGTGAACCTGCCTCCGTCCTTGGCTACAGATCACTTATCATTTCTGCAGTGACCTCTTGGCAGTATTTGCTTTCCCTACACTCTACTCACCCAGGGTCTTCTGGCTAACTTGCTAAGAAGGCTTCCCCAAACCATATGCCCTCAAATCAGATGCTGTACCAAATTGGCAGTACAGTATTCCAAGCAGAATAGGTCCCTGATACTTCTGGAATGAACAGCAGATTGCTTACCAACTGGTTACTGGAGGTTGAAGCTTGTTCAGAAAGGCAGAAAAATCAGGGTTTTGGAAGGAGGTCATCTCAGAAATCAGAGAAATATGTGCAAATATTTTCTTGCCATCAGATGGGATATCAGAGAGGAACCTGTCCCTGTGTTCCTTTTCTTATTTTCTTATTATTATTGGACTATTACCAGATTTTAAATGCTTCCTTGTTTTCTTCTCTGAATTAAATTACCTATAATGATTCAACATTGTGCCATTATAAACGTATTTGACCATATTCCCACAGCTCCTTATCCTGTTAGATTTAGTTCTTATAGCATTTTGCCTTTGTAAGATTGATTCATGTGTGTCTCTCCCAGTATATCTTGATTTCTCTGCTCACAGAGTCTACATATCCATCACCTCTGGAATCTAACAGTGTCCATTACACATAAAAACCATTCACTAATACTTCCTAAAGTATTATTTAATTGAGAATTTTGAGGCAGGCAGCCACTATGGGTTGTCAATAACATTTTTTTGTGGGATTAAACATATCATCCATGGACATTGAATTGTAATTTATCTTGTGATAAAGAAATCAATTTCTATGACTAGTAAAACATGT